CCCGCGGGGCTGGCGCCCCCGCCCGCCGCGGAGCCTTACCCGGTGCCCGGGGCCAAGCGCAAGTACCAGGAGGACTCGGACCCAGAGCGCAGCGACTACGAGGAGCAGCAGCTGCAGAAAGAAGAGGAGGCGCGCAAGGTGAAGAGCGGCATCCGCCAGATGCGCCTCTTCAGCCAGGACGAGTGCGCCAAGATCGAGGCCCGCATAGACGAGGTGGTGTCCCGCGCCGAGAAGGGCCTTTACAATGAACACACTGTGGACCGGGCCCCGCTGCGCAACAAGTACTTCTTCGGTGAGGGCTACACGTACGGCGCCCAGCTGCAGAAGCGCGGGCCCGGCCAGGAGCGCCTCTACCCGCCGGGCGATGTGGACGAGATTCCCGAGTGGGTGCACCAGCTGGTGATCCAGAAGCTGGTGGAACATCGCGTCATCCCCGAGGGCTTCGTCAACAGCGCCGTCATCAACGACTACCAGCCCGGCGGCTGCATCGTGTCTCACGTGGACCCCATCCACATCTTCGAGCGCCCCATCGTGTCCGTGTCTTTCTTTAGCGACTCCGCGCTCTGCTTTGGCTGCAAGTTCCAGTTCAAGCCTATCCGGGTGTCGGAACCTGTGCTTTCCCTGCCGGTGCGCAGGGGGAGCGTGACTGTGCTCAGGTAACCCACCTGGGAGGAGGGAGCCGCCTGCACCCTGCTGCCTTAACTGCCCGCCCTGGGGCAGTAGGCAGCAGCCAGTAGAAACCCGTCCTTTTTACAGTTCTGACCCCATTCTTCAGTTTGTAGGTTTTGAGGAACAGGGGAGGGGGTTGTGTTTAAAACACATACAGCAAGAAAACCGGTCAGGTAATGAATGTGGAATCTTGTACCCGAAGGCAGATTTGATGTGATCGTGGATATGACTGAGAATTAATCTGAGGACATCTTTCCAGAGGCTAGGATGTTAAGAGTCTGTTTCCTTTGTTGTGTGTGTGTTTTTCTTTAAAGCAAGTCCTTTTCTGTTAGTCTACATTTCCAAATCTATGCTTTAAAAAGAAATTGAATTTCATATCTAAAAGTCTTAACTTTTTTTGCTATTTTTGGTCTACTTAACAGAAAAAGGAATGTTTATGGATTCCTTAACAAACGCTCGCAAGCATGGCTCCCAGGAGTATTTAATTGATAGGCATTCTCTATTCCCAGGAGGGAGAGTGACTTCCCCGGAGCTGAACGTATTAGTGGCTGGGTCAGGAACTGAGTGCAGCACACTCCCAACACTCTGCCCCTTGGCTGCAGGAAAGCCCATGGGTCTTTAGTAAGAACGTGTTACCTGTTATCAGGACCTAATATAACAAAACGCAGCTGGTCTCTTGACCTCGTATTTGGCATTGTAGTTATGTGAGCAGCAAACCTAGACTCTTAGCCTATTTTGGGTCCCAGATCCTGCTTAGAATTAGCTCAGTGCTTTGGTTCCCAGAGAAGATTGTCTGCCGAAACACCTTTACTCTTTATGTAAAGCTAATATTTGGAAGCTGTCTTTTTTCAGCTCTGGAACTGTAATGTACCTCAGTAATCCCCCAAAACCTCTTAGGAGGTGTAGGCTGCAGCTGTTCAGAGCACCTTGGTTGACCATCACCAACTACAGGATCAAGTACCGGATCAGGATACTTGGAGGTTTTGTTGTGAGCAGCTTAACCTCTGAAGTGCAGTCAGTGTCTTATGCTGCAGTCTGAGGAGAAGCAGGGTCCCTGGGGCACTGTTAATATCAGGAGGGCAGGTCATCTATCTCATTTGAGTTGAACAGCTGAAGCTGCTTCCATGTTGAGCAGGGGCAGCAGCACCCTGTGACAGCCAGAATCTCCTTCTTGAGGAAGTCAGTGGTGGCAGGAGCAGTACTTTGGATCCTTGTGCATCTGAAACCTAGAGGACTACTTATTTGTCAGGTGCCTCCTTGCCATTTGGGTTTCTGAGCTTCTCGTATTTGCAAGACATTCCTAAGTGGATGTCTTAGAAGAGCCCTTTAAGATTAGGATTTCCTGGGAACCAGCAGTTAGCGTAATGGCTATGTC